ACACACACACACACACACACACACACACACACACACACACACACACACACACACACACACACACACACACAGGCGTATGTTTTTCTTGTTAAATGTGGGTCAGCTGTGGTCAGTGTGTGTGTTAATCCTCTGGATTTAATCTGTTCAGCAGCAGGATGGAAGCTGATGTTGTGTAAGAGACCTGCAGCCGACGCACGCTGACTCCGTGTACGAGAACTTTTTCTGCCTCACGTTTACAGAACACCTGAAGCTAAAGCTGCTGCAGGAAATCTGCTCTTCGGCTGGATTTGATGCTGTAGAACCGGGCCATAACGGGCCTGGATGGCTGTTCGTCCTGCAGAACCTGACCTGAGCGCTGTAACATCTGTATGTTCTCTGTGTTTCAGTATTTACACGGGAACGGAGTCGTTCATCGCGACCTGAAGCCYGAGAACCTGCTGTACGCTGACCTGTCGCTGGACGCCTCGCTGAAGATCGGTAACAAACCCACCGTTCAGACCGTTAAGAGCTAAAATTAGCAAAACAGTTCTTACATGCAAAACATTAAACTGAAGGGTAAAATAATCAGACCAGTAACTCAGTAAGCTAATTTAGCAAAAACAAAGCTAAAAGTAGCAGAACAGCATACAGTAGCTGAAACTAACAAAAGTTAAAGTTACCGGAGCAGTAGCTAAAAGCTAACTTAGCAAAACATTCACTAAAAGCAAATAAAGCAGAACTTTATCCAGTAGCTAAAACCAYCAAAATAGTCAAAAGCTAAAATTGCCAGAGCATTAGCTAAAAGCTAAATTAGTATAACAGTAGCTAAAAGCCAGCCTTAACAGAAAAATAGCTAAAAGTTGAATAAAAAAACAGTATCCAGTAGCTAAAACTAGCAAACAACAAATAAAAGCTAAAGCTGCTAGAGAAGTAGCTAATGCTAACTTATCCAAACAGTAGCTAGAATGTAATTTAGCTAAAAGTTAATTTAGCAAAACAGTAGTTAAAAACTAAAGTTGTCCAAACTACATATAACTAAATTATGCTTTTTTTTTTTCAAAAAGCAAAAACATTTAAGGGTTTGAAATGTTTTCTAGTTAGTTAAATAAGTAGAAAATGTGAAAAATTATTTAAATTGTATAAAATGGCCCAAAATTCAAAGTCAAAGCTGTAATTACCTGAACGAGCTGGTTGATGAATGAATAAAACCGCTGAAGAGTTTCTGAAGTTATAGTCTAAAAACTAAAACAGGAAAATGCTGACTCAGCYTTCACAAAATGAAACTACAAACYTGACTGAAGAGAAAAGTTTGTTATAGATTCGACACTTTTAGCTGCTCTCAGGTCTTAGTAATAAAWAAAATATCTGAACTGTCTGTTGAATATCTTCAGTTTGAGTGGTTGAAGTTTTTGTAAAACCAGTAAGAAAGCAGCCTTTTGTCTGGTTCTAATCTGTCCGAGGAACAGAGGGGTTAGCGCTGAACCGCCGGCTCTTTGTCGGCTCATTATTTTTGGAGAATCTGGGTCCAGATGGCCGGCGAGCCCCTGGCTAACCGCRACAGATGGACCAAGAGATGCTCCTCGTTTTTCTTTTCTGCTTCACAGAACCTCCTGCAGAGAAACACATTTTCCTCCACCTCCATGCCTTCACCTCCATGCTCGTCCTAAAATAGAGCCGTTGGAAACGTAACGCAGCTCAATCTGGTTGTGTTTTTTTCTCGCAGCCGACTTTGGACTTTCCAAAATCATCGATGACCAGGTGACCATGAAGACCGTCTGTGGTACTCCAGGGTACTGTGGTGAGTTTGAAGCCTCAGGAAAGGTCTGAGTGTTAAACAATGATGCATCAGTAGTATTGTAGCGTCAGTGTGTGTGTGTGTTCACCTGTGTTGTGTTGACACGTGGATGTGGGCAGCGATGCGTTCACTGCAGCCGCTGCTCTGTGGGATATTTGTGTCAGACCTCTCGGTCGGAGCTTTTGTCGGCCATCTGGCAGCTAAACTGCCTCCTCTGCCTGCAGCTCCGGAGATCCTGCGGGGGAATGCTTACGGCCCCGAGGTGGACATGTGGTCAGTGGGCGTCATCCTCTACATCCTGTGAGTACACACACACACACACACACACACACACACACACACACACACAC